TCTGCCTGCCCTGCAGAGGAGGGGATCTCTCACTCTGCCCACATGGCACTTAATACAAAGGGTGCCTCAACGTAGTGCTGGCCTCTAAGAGCCACAACAATACCACTAATAATCAAGGTTACAATTTTACTGCCAAGACTGTATTATTATGTGGTATTATACTTTTGAGCATGCCTAGTCTCATTTATAGCAAAGGGCTCAGCTCAGTGCTCCCTGTTATAAATCTTATGCTAATTATAAGTGTAATCTGAACTGCTTTTACTTTCCTTTTAAAATGATGGTATAGGGCATAAACTTTGTTGTGATGTTGCACTGCTATTTCGTCTGAAGTGCCTTTGTCCTCTAGCACAGCTCCACGTGTAACATATCAGCAAAATACTGGGAGGCCAAGAACAGAGCTTGCATAAATTGCTTATATTGCAGGATTACGCCAACAGCACTGTCATTACTGCTGGTAATTTGATTCTAGCACATCCTTTGACACATGCAACTTGAAGAAACTAAGTACCCATTAAGATGGATGTTCCTAAATGTGCTATCAGCCTGAAACTTTAAATTATTTTAAAATACCTGGTAGAAATGAAAAATGCACAGTCAGTCAAACGTTGTTTTTCATCTGTATGTCAGCATCAGATTGTTTGAATTCTTGATGAAAAGTTGATGCTTGGAAAAACTCAGAAGCAATGGACCAAATTCTGGTCTTGGTGAGATCCTAATTCTCCAAAAGCTGATCATCATTTGAGCAGTGCTCAGAAGCTTATCCCTGTATGAGTCACTTGTACCTCTTTATTATCAATCCCTGGGAATCTGCCCCAAAGACAAATGGAGTATTTCTGGCTCTGCCCTTGGGCTTTAGTGGATTTGTACTGGTATAACGGAACAGATTGGAATGGAGATGTGACCCATTTTGGTTCCAGCTGGTGATGAGCTCCATTTCAGGAGCTTTTAAAAGCTAAATCTGCACTTGTGCCAGGACTTCTAAAATCCCTGGGCAACCTCCAAGTCCTGTTTGACACCCTCAGATGAGCACTTTGAAGGCACTCTGAGGTGAGCTGCTGTGGTGCTTCCTGAGGTAGCTGATCTTTCCCTAAAATGCTGTACAGGTACCTAATCCCATTGCATGGACTCCCCACTGCTATTTTGCTTTAAAACCCTCCAGAGGGCTAAACACAAACAGAAACACAACTCCCTTCCTTCTCAGTTTGCACCAGCTGCCCTTCATTACTGCACATGTCCCAGATTAGCCAATATCCTCATATTCCTCCTCCCCTCCCAAGGCTGAAAGTGTGTTACAGAGCACAGGTTTTCCTGCCTTTGCTCACCCAACATGTGCAGAGCAAATGAGGAGGGAAGGGATGCTGAAGGCAGGAAAACAGCAAGAAGATTTGGGGTTGGGGACTGTTTTCCTTTTCCTATTTTAATTAGTTTGGGGGATATGTTGTGCATTTCTTGCTTGGATATTCTTTTCTTCTTTTCCTAACACCAAGCAGAAAAGTTGCATACAAAATCTGAAAACCTCATTATTGTGATCTTGAAAGCAAGACATTGGCAGGAACTGTAGCCAAAGTTCCCTCTCAATACTCAAAATAAGGTTCAGTGTCCTTCTTCACTTGCAGAAGACAGAGTTATAAAAATGAAACCTTAGTAAATCTAACAGGCTACCAATATACAGTGTCATCTTTAAAGCATCCTACTCCCTTTTCTTGGTTGAAGCTGGACAAACACCAGCAACTATGCCCAGCCCTTCTCACCTGTTGCAGCCCTCAGACCCCTCCTCTCTTTTTTGCCTTGCTCTAAGGAGCAGATCATTACACTTTTCCCTGCGGATAGTCTATCATGAGCTATTTTTATTCTCTCTGCAATTCCCTAACTTCCCCATGCCAAATACTCGCTAAGAGTCATCAACCTTCATCAAGGCCGACAAATGAATCAAATCTGCTGCCAGGTCATTTAGGAAATGAGCCAGTTTAGAGTTAGGGACATTTTTTAATAGTCCCATACGGAGGGAATATTAAATGCTATAGCTTTAGAAAGTCATATCCAAACTTTTCAGACTAATTCTATTCTGAGTAACAAGCTGCAGATGAAGCTTCCGAGGACTGGTTTTCTTTAGGAAAATTAGGGCTTATAATAAACAATTTTTCTCCACTTTGTAGATCAGTCCACCCACCCATTCTTCCATCTAGAAGTGTAACCCTATATACAAATGTGTAAGGCCCCAAAGAGGAAGGCTCATTTAGAATATCCTGTCCAGTGATTTGCTGAATGAGTTGCATCGCAATTTACAGGAACAAAATGTTTTTAGTTATCACTATGTATACTGCTTTTTTTTCTCTCCAACTGCGTATCATTTTTTCTCCCTCCCACATTTTCATTTCCCTTCAAGCTACAGGAGCTACAGGGCACTGGTAAACTGATGCTGCACAACCCCTCTGAAGCAGATGTTTAGCAAAGATAGGCGATATGATCCATGTATAGAAAACTCTTACCTATCTCTCTGTGGACATAAAACTCTGCTTTGAACACGGTTAGTATAGATCATCTAATGAAGTTAGGGGTTTTTTTTCCATCTAGCTCTTTTCCTTCTGTTGCCATAGTGGATCTATAGACAGGGAGAGTGAGGCGCTGGGAGTTTTTCAAAAGAAGGCTGTCTTAAAGTGAGTTATGTTTTTGAGGGTCGACAAAACAATGAGGAGGAAGCCAGCAAACAAACCTTTGCTTTAAAACTGAGGATATGAAATGCTATCCTGCAGGACCTGAAGTCCATGGGACATCAGGAAATCTCACACCTTCCAGCTTCATGTCTGTCTCCCAGTACAGCCTGCTTTCTGCTTCTTGTCTAAAGGAGGAACTGAAATATCCCAGGAACCTGGGTCTGGCCCAATGGAAAGGGAGAGGAGACAGCTGCACTTCCTAGGAAATGTGAAAAGCATATACCTGGCCAGATCTGCTTAAAGAGCTTAGGAAGGAAAAAGGTATAGCCAGTGTACTGGCCACAGTGGCTTCTGACAGAAATGCAGCCTGCCAGGAATACAGTATTGCCTGGGGCAAGCATTTACATGGCCGGGTGGTGTGCTGCTCCTGCAGACTGTGTCACTTGGCACACATCTGGCTGACACAGCTGGATCACTTCACTCAGGTGTTTTATTTTAGTGCCTGACATAACATTGGCAAGCCACACACAATCACTGAAACCACTCTCCCATGCAGCCCCGTGGAGCTTGCTGATGAAGGAATGCTTTACACGCAGCACTTGCAGGAACCATCTCCACCATCCGCTTAGCCCTCTTGGCTGCAAATGCAGCTTTAGCACACAGCATCTAGATAAACTGAAAAGCTCCAAGGTTAAGTGGGAAATAGAAATCTACTGACCCCTGTCTGGGCAAGTGAGCTTAATGACTTGTCTGCTGCTGCATGTACCAAACATATGCTGGCAAGCATCTGTCTGAACAGCCCCTCCAAAATAAATGATTGATGGAAGCAATTTGTCTTTAAAAATGGGATAAGTCAGCTAGGAGTCCTGCTAGAAAGGGGTTAATGGGATATATGAGTTGGTAGTGAGTGGAAGAGAGAGTAGAAAAGCTGGAGTCAGAGGCAACACCCCTTGTTAGGTGTTTACCATGTCGAATCTAAACCGCTTCCACTGCATATGCAAGACAGAGGAATTACTCTGTAAATCCTATTACTCTGTGTGGATAAATCTTACATTCAAGTGAGCAAGTCTGGAGAGCTGAGGAATGGAAGCTGCTCAATGGATATTCCAGGATCAAAACAACCGAGGACATGGGAGGCAACCAAAGCGATATGCGTACGCGTACACACACACACACACACACACACACACACATACACACATATCCCTCTTCCAGCATCTTTCTTCCATCTATCATTAAATGGGAGGGATGCAGGACACAGGGGATCATGTAGCAGAGCGTTTGGTGACATCTAGCAGGATTTATTCACAGAAAGAGAAAGAAAACTTTGCTACTGCTGTTAGCTTTACTAGGGGATTGCTCCCTTGATGCTTCAGGGTTTGTGCACTATCAGCTCCTCATACAGATCACAGACTTATTTTAAATTACATCCAGTAGTTTTACAGCCATAATACACAATGTGTACAATCACACATGCAGAATTTTCCTTCAGTAGTGTAGTTACTGCAGGTAAGTTGAGCAAGGCAGAATTTAAAAAAAAGAGACCTACAGGAAAAAGACTACTGCAGTTCAGCTATTTGGGACGCTCCTAACTGAAAGCCCAAGTAGTGTCAGAAGTACCTTTGGAAAACCTGCACAATGAAACCAGAAATATAACACTCAAGAGTGCCGCTAAGCAAGGTTTCATGTGCAAAGACATCCTCATCTCAACCAGACACACAGGCACAGCATACACCCATTTATTTAGCCGTACAAAAAACCCAACACACTAAGACACAATCTTTGTCAGAGCTGCTACACCATTTTTTCACCAGCCTTTTCAACTACTGTATCCATCTTCCCTGCCCACAGGACAGAAAAATAAATAAAATTAAAAGACAAGAGTTTCTCAAAAGAACTTGCCTGAAAGTTCTGGCAGCACCAGGGCTAAAGTTTCTGCATATGTACAAAAAAAAGCATGGGAAGATCAATGGAACATCTGGCAAGCACAGCTGGATCCCTTTTCGATTCCTTTATTGATACTGCAGGGCTGGTGGAAAGTGTACGTTCACAAGAGCTGGGTAACACAAGCAGATCTTTCCCCACTGAAATTCTTTCGTCCAGAGCACAACACAGAGGATAGTGTAGCATGATGTGTTCAAAAGCTTTGCAATTTTTTCATATTAAAGCACAAACACAGATACAGAGCCTGTTTGTAGCAGCTGCTGCTACCGCAGTTTCGAGAGGCAAAATAACACTCTCACAGAGACACATACACACAAATTTGTATCACGTCACACGTACACGTTGCATACATGGCAATTTAGATGCACACATAGAAGAGGAAAAGTTGGCAAAATGCCCTACCTGAGGATGGCTGTGTCCCCTTGCCTCACGGTGATGTTATCGGTACCTCGGCTAAAATCCACGCTGCGGACTGGCAGCCCTGTGGGGAGAAGGCAAAGCAATCTCAGTAGGACCAGCGGTAATTGTTTCCGATCAGGCTGAGCCCTTACTACCATGGCTGGTCTCGTCGAGTTTCACTGTCAGTACTTGTTTCTTTCTCTGCCTGTGTATGTGGACAGATAGACGTAGAAAGAAAACAATAATAATGTACAACTCTCGTTCTGATCGACAGCCCAAGAAAGGGGAGGTGATTTCACAGTCCTTCTCAGCTGCCACTTTCTCTTGCTCTTTTCAGTCTCTTGCTGGCTTCTTTCCCTTCCTTGCCTTTTTTCTTTTTTTTTTCTTAAAAGGCTTTCCAAAAAAAAAAAAAAAAAA